AAATGTAAATAAAATTAAAATATATAAAATTAGGAAAACTTATAGAGACAATTATCAACTGAAGACAAATGATTATATATCACTAAATGAAGCTGGTAAATTAATTGCTCCATTAATGTCCAGTGGCAAATATGTCATGCATATTCACGGCGAGTGGATCAACCTGAAGCAAATGATTACAATTTTAGAGTGGCACTTTTTACAATAAGCTTAAGGCAGAGCGTTCGATTGAGGTAAAACGTATGCCGTAATAGAATACAGTTGAACCATGGTCGAAGTCGTGTAAGTTAAGCTATTAGCCCTCCTTCCCTTTTTCTTCCACGGTAGACGAATGTCAAAAACAAAACGTCATGAATTTACAATCACTAACGGCCACTATAAGTAAATGAGATATATGAACTTTTTTTGTAAATAAATTCCTATTGCAGCCAACGTCACCAGGTTCGAGACAGGTTAGTATTTCCAATAAAATACCGTTTGATTATTGACCGGAGATATAAAAGCAACCAAAAGCACATTGAATAAAAAAATTCTAAAATAGTAAATTTTGGTATTTTGCTGGGTGTTTTCCCGATCCTATTTCGGACCCCCTGATTTTAAAAGGGCGTATCTAATTAGTCATGCCCGATTTACTTTTAGTAAACTGAACCTCAACTTAAAGACCTACACCGGGTAAATAAGTTCGAGGTACAATAAGTAGACAATAGAAATCTTTTGTGAAATGAGATCGTCCTAGGTCTCTTAGATAATTATTTTGCGTTGAATAACAATGAAAAATGCACGAGCAGGTTGGTAATCATAATTAAAGAAAATTGATATATCATGAAAGTAGTGAATTGCTTGCTTGCATGAGTATTTTTTTTTTTAATCTGTATCACACTAAAAAATTTGCAAGCGGGAATCTTGCTGACATGTCAATTTTCTAGTTGAAAATCTGTTATTGTGCTTAATACGCATGAAACGTTTACCACTTATGTTAAACAAATAACAATAAGGTAATTAAAAGTATCAGTGGCCCAACTTTATATGGCCACTACAGAACAGGATAGTCTGTTTAAGTTCTATAAATAAAACATCATAGAATAGTTGTTAGCTTTTACATCATTTAGTCTCTGGTTGAGAGTTGTCTCATTGGCAATCATGTGACATCTTCTTATATTTATATAGTATTTCATCTATTGAAGTTGAATTTAAAATACATATTTTCTCAGTAGAATTGAACACTGGCGAATCCTTTTCCCCTAGAATATTTTATCAATAAATAAAAAGATGGACGCATATCTCAGACCTAATTACTTTTTCAAAAAACAACGGCAGACAATATCTGTTAACCAATCATTGTTCTTTACCTGTTAATAATTTACATTACATTTTAGAGGATTGCAACACAATTCCACATTGCAGTCCTAAGTATGAAATCGTCCAAATTATAATTGCATATTGTTATTCTAAACTGTTTCCCAAAATTGATGAAATCATTCCTCAGTAAAGGACCTAAATATCGTCCCCCGTCAATTAATAATTGGAATGAGTGTCGTAGGATTATCCACGACTCACTCCGTACTTACTGCTCGAAATGGATAAAACGAGAAAAGGTTTACAAAACAACCACAATAGCCCTATTTCTCGTATCAAACATAAGCTAAAAGAACTCGCCATAGAATATGTTTTTGTCCCGGCTGATAAGGCTGCTAATAATGTCATTTATTGTTTGACGTAAATTTTACATTGAGGTTCTGCAAAAGGAAATCATGAATTCACCAACATTCAAACTGACTCCATTTTCGGAAAATGACATCTTTAACAAACATAAACTTTTAGCTACCTCTTTACAAGCAGAACCAAATACAATGAAAGTTCCAACTATGTACTGTCTTCCGAAGCTGCACAAAACACCTTATAAATATAGAATTATTTCTTGTTCAAGCCATTGTTCCACTACTAAACTGTCTATTCTACTTACTAGTACACTTGGTACAATCAAAAATCTGGTAATAAATTGTTCAAATAAGGCCTTTGAAAATAGTGGAATTAATTACTTTTGGAGTGTTAAAAATTCGTTGGAAGTACTTGATAAATTGCATGCTTATATCGGTGATTTCGAATCTGTTCAAAGTTTTGATTTTTCTACCCTATATAACACTTTGCCTCATAATCATAATTCACACACCTTATTAAATGGGCATTTTAAAAGTCAGAATGCGAATATATATGTTCTAACTCTTTTAGGTCATTTTTTAGTAACACCAGACAAAAGAACTATGTCAATTAGACCTGCTTTGATACGATAACTGCCCTTGAATTTTTACTAGATTACATTTTTGTTCGCTATGGAGATTCCGTATATCGTCAAGTTATCGAAATTCAAATGGGACTAATTGTGCAACACTTATTGCGAATTTCTTTCTGTATTTTTATGAGTTACAATTTATGACTAAAATGAACAATGACTCATCGAAACAACATCGGATACAAAAATTTAATAGATATTTGGATGATATATTGGCTATCAATAATGACGACTACAGTATCTACACTAAAGAGATTTATCCTAATGAACTGACTTTAAATAAAGCTAATACTAACAATGAACACTGCCCTTTCCTTGATCTTGATATCCATATCTTTAACGGGAAGCTTAATACCCAAATTTATGGTAAAAGAGATGATTTTTCATTTCCTATTGTTAATTATCCATTTTTAGATGATCACGTTCCCTTGTCACCATCTTATGGTGTTTATATATCACAACTTGTTCGATTCGCTCGTGTATGTATCTGATTTTAACGAAAGAAACCTCTGTATTACTGAAAAATTATTACACCAGGGTTTTCGATATCAAACTAGTCAAAACATTTACTAAATGTTATCATCGGTACAAGGACATCATTCGTAAATATAAATCAACATGCAGACATCTTATACGTTCAGGTATTTCACATCCAATTGTTTATGGTAATATTCTATACAAAGCACAAAAATGTCGACATTCACCTCAAAAGCTACCCAAACCTTTAAACATACTTATTCAGAAGGGATATAGTTACGATACTGTTGTCAGGTCATTAAAGATGGCATATTTTGGTATTAATATTGATTCACTCATAGGGTCTTTGCATCGGAAATAAACACATTTATTCTAAAACCCTAAAACCAGTTGTTGGCACGATACGGATTATGTTCTTCTCATATATTTTATGATGGTATGATACTAAACCCCTAACGGAAGAGATTGTGCTTAATTTTCATATGATGAAGACATAATCTTTCAATCAGTTTAATTGAGGTCTGGAGCTGGCATGTCAGTAACTGCTAGTAGTCCTTTGTTAATTTATGTATCATTGTCATTTTGCTTAGTTTCTTTTGTTACCTATTCTGACATCGGACTCGGACTTCTTTTAAACTGAGTTTTACTCTGCGTATTGCTGTGTGTTTGTTTATTCTACATTAGCTAGAGGTATAGGGGAAGGGTTGAGATCTCACAAAACATTTTTAATCCCGCCGCATTTTTGCGCCTGTCCCAAGTCAGGAGCCTGTGGCCTTTGCTAGTTTTGTATGTTTTTTTTTTAATTTTAGTTCATTTATATGTTTTGGAGTTTAGTGTGACGTCCATTTTCATTGAAATAGTACACATTTTTGTTTAGGGTCCCGCTGAAGCCCACCTCCGGGTGCGGGATCTCCTCGCTGTGTTGAAGACACATTGGCGGCCTTCGGCTGTTTTCTGCTCTTTGGTCGGGATGTTGTCTCTTTGACACATTCCCCATTTCCATTCTCAATTTTATTGCACAAATAAAAAAACGTATTGTATGTATGGACATTTTTAAAACTTAAACGAACTATAATGTTTACATGTTTAACCCCACCACATTCTGTATATGCCTGTTCCACGTCAGGAGCCTGTTACTCAGTGGTTGTCGTTTGTTGCTGCATATCATATTTGTTTTTCGTTTATTGTTTTTAACATAAATCAGGCCGTTAGTTTTCTCGTTTGAATTGTTTTTACATTTGTCATTTCGGGGCTTTTTATAGCTTACTATGCGGTATGGGTTTTTGCTCATTGTTGAAGGCCGTATGGTGACGTATAATTGTTAACTTCTACGTCAAATGGTCTCACATGAAATCACATCAAGTTTTTTTGGTGGGTTCATGTTGCTTAGTCTTTTTTATTCTATGTTAAGTTTTGTATACTGTTGCTTGTCTTTTGGTGGTTTTTCGTTTTCTGTCCTGTCATTGTCAATTCTTTTTTTACCAGTGAGTTTGAATGTCTCTTTGGTATCATCACCCTCTTTTCTGCACATCATTTATACTTCGTTTGGCAAAATAAATGACTTAAGGTTCTTTAATCGTAAAATATAAACAGACCAGAGGGAACTCTTTTATTACATGAAGGCAAAATCAATATAATACAATCTCTGAAATATATATAAAAAAATTGGGCAAAATCTGATCTTTAAAAACAATTCTTTAAAAAGTCTTTTTAAAATACTCCAACAACTCATTTCCGGGTAGAAACAGTTTAGCCTTACAATTTGTTTAGTTAAAATGAAAGAGAAGTCGGTACTGGTGTAAAGGCAACTCAACCGAAAGGAACAATTAAATATCACAATACTCAAACAAAATCAAATGAACCTTTCGTGTTGCTCATTTACAGTAGTACAAGTCCCGTAATATGCCGCATTCGACGATTTAACAATCGAAGAGAAGTGATATGCGATTTGGCTACCAAAATTGCAACATTCGATGGTAATCTTTGGCAGAAACAATCGATAAACAGCCATATGAAATATTTATTCAGAAGAAATGCATCACAGAATTTGATTTGACACAACAAAACTGACTAAATATAGTTATATTACGTATACCTTGAACTTATACTTTATTTTTGCCAACTGAGTGGTAATATAATTACATATTTTATATACGTAATGTTGCAAATACAATAATTTTGTGTTAATTTTTTTTATGTTTATTGAACACACAATATATGTCTATTATTCAAGATGGATCTAAATCCCCAGTTAAAGGTTCGTCTAACGTGGCCGCGATAGGTGGAGGTGTTGCAGCTGTAATAATCGTTGTGCTTATAATGGTGGCAGCATTTATCTTTTACAAGTAAGTTCATGAAATATATATACATGTACAGGTAAAATTGATTGACAGCAAAATTGCATGACCATTTTATATTTGAAGTTATCAGTTTGCGGAATCATGTTTTTATAGATTTCATTTTTAAAGTGACAATGATAAAAAGTTTCTACGCCAGCGCATATATGCAAATTTAGTCTTTTCGCGTCTGGCGTACAAAATTATGAGCCTAGTTTCTTTGATTGTTGTTTTTTCGAATATGAAATAAAGATGAACAAATTAATATTGATTTGTATAAAGGAATACTAGTTTAACTAAACTAAAATATTTACAATTCGAAAAAAAAATAACACATTCCAAAGACAAACTAGCTTCTTTAGGCTTGAATCTATCCAGAATAAATAGGGTAAACATAAGAAACCAACGAACCGTTGCAAATTAACCTTACTTCAACTTTGATTTCGTAGACCAAAAGAACAATCTTGAACGTCATACATTTGTTATACGCAGTACATTTAGATCTGATTGACCAAACTGCAATGAGCCGTAAAAGTTTCTTAGATTGTATCTGCAACCGATTTCAACTGGATAGATGCAAACCTGATGACGATAGTTTGTCTATCGAAATATTGCGTTTAATTTTTATCGCACTGGTATATGAAACGTTTTAATTTTTATTGCATTGGTATATGAAACGATTGAAAGGGCAAACAACATTTATAATTTATACAAAACACAACACAGAAATCTAAAGACCGAGCAATACGATCCCCACCAAAACCGGGAGTGATCTCAGATGCTCCCTTGTGTTACTCATGTAAGCCCAAACCCGGTGATAAGTATAATATTCGGTAGGTCACATTCGAGAAAAAGAGGACGGGATATTTGTTCCGACAATTCGACCATATTTGTAGTCATCAGTGAAACATATATTTCATAAAGGTCAAAACAACTCATAATGGCATCCATAAAATATTTGAAGGGATGTTTCCAACCTCACCACTTGGAACTCTTGGTTTAAAAACATTGACACCGAAGAAAGCTGAAATATTTCTTAATACGATTTTATTACACATGTTCGTATATTACTATCAATATCGTTACCCAAACCTCTAGACCGAGTCCGTGTAATACATTATTGACGTTGTTTTGTTTTCTTATAGAAGTATGATTATATGTATAAAGAGAAAATAATTTACAAATTTTATAAATGATTGTGTTTAAGTTTCCAGATGGTATATTATTTTGGAAATAATATATCTTTTCAAGATTTTATTTCTTAATTGTATTTTTTTAACACGTAGCACCATTAAAAAACAAATTTATAATTTATTTTTATAAATGTCTTGTTTTCTTGTTCATTAAAATTTGATAAACCATTTCAAACACAATGTATGTTCTACAGCAAAGATATACATGACCTTAATTTGATATGTTACACTTTTGTGGAATTTTTGTTTTTTTATTTTTTCTTGTACCTACAAAATGAGTGTGCTTTCCACTGTTTTAAGTCAGATGTCTGTAAATAGTTTGCGAGATGAAACATACTTCTGACATACTTAATCGTTAACCTTATAGATACAGGAAGATGTGGTATGATTGCCAATGAGACAACTCTCCATCCTCGTCTGTTTTGTGTCATTTTACAAATAAAGGATTTGTGCATAATACAAACGAGTGAGTACACACACAACAACAGAGAGTAAAGATACTAAGGAGGCAATCAATAATTATCAGTTTAAAATCATACAAAAACCATGACAAAAGAAACACGAACAGACAAACAACAAAAACAGAAGAGTGCATAAACAAATAAAGATTGGGCAACAAAACCCTACCAAGAATCGGTAGGAACACTTAAAGAGTGTGTATGTTCCCACTTACTTGAAGCACCCGTCATGTTACTCATCATAAGTAAAAATCGTTTATAAGTTGCATTTGGTGACGTCACAATCGCGGAAATGAGGACAGGATTGTAGTTACGACAATTGGGACGTATCCGTGGTCATCTATGAGTCTATGAAACAGTTATTTCACAATGGTTTACCAAATTTTGAAAACTTTCAAAATGATGGCTTCAAATTTCACATATAGAACTCTTGAATTATCAGCATCCATGTAAATAGTAATCCTCTATTACGGAACTCATGTTAGGAAGCGCATATTCTGAATTACCGTATTAATTAAGAGACATATTTTTCGTATGCAGCCGCTGTGAGAATGTTGCTACAAAGAAGTAAAAAGTTCATTCTTGTAGTTCACATTATTCACGATTAGAATTATTTTTTAGCATATAATAATGCTGAGGACATATAATTATGTTAAACAATAAATTCGAAATTGGTGATATGTTTAAAATACATAACAAAAACTTTACTCACCTGACTGTTGCAAATTTAATTGAAAGCCTTAAGAGTCTATATAATATTATATCTTGACGAGCTCAATAATTAATGACAGACATATTTCTCTAATATTTCTTAAATTTTCCCAAACTAATTGATAAAACATACCTTATATATCGTTTTTTGCTTCTAATTTGCAGACGCAGCTTAATATCAACAAGAGAGAGATATGTTGACCGGACAAAATCAAGCGATAAGACCACTTTCGGTGAGCAAACTGTTTTTGTTGTCTTTTCATGTAAAAACAAGATACTGTTGTTTTTACTATAATGAAAAAAAATTCTCGAACCTGAAATTTGAGCATACGTTTATTTTTAGACTTATACCTTGAATTTGACATAAGCGGTCATCTCAATACTAGAATCTATGACAAACGAGACGATTTTAATTTGAAATGATCAATTTCCCCCACTTTAGTAGCAATATACCAACTTCACCTGCATATTGGATATTCATTTCCCAACTCATTCGGTATTCAAGAGCTTGCAGCTGCTACCCAGGCTTTGTGAAACGTCACCAGTATCTGAGCAGAAAGTTGAAGAACTAGGGTTATGACAAATAACGTCTCGTTCTCTTTCGAAAAGAGTTCATCGGAAGATACCAAGGCCTTGTTTATAAATATTCCGTATCAACTCTTTAAATAATACATGATGGTCTTAAGGTATAGATTCTAGGTACTGACGTTGTTTATCATCTTAATTACGTGTTATAGTGTTCTGTCTTTGTACATTATTAACCTTTACTGTTTTGTCCATTTTCGTTAATATTCTTTTGGCGTGGCTCGGTACTTATACATCCCACCTTTGTTTTATTGTGCTATGGTAATTTTTTTCTTTTCTTGTCTTTCATTTTTGCTTATTACTTTGTCTTTATGCCATTTTGTTTTTCTTTGTTGACATATTTGTTTGTTTTTATAGTGATAAGGATTATGACGCAATGTTGACTGCTGTACCCCAATGTTTTACACTTATACCTATTATATCTGTTTGTTTTGCTCACACATTGTTGTCAATATAATGGAATTTTTTGCGACTGTCATACAAGTCAGAGGTGTAGCTAGCTATAAAACAAGATTTAATCCACCATTTTCTACACAAGGAAATGCCTGTACCAAGTCAGGAATATGACAGTTGTTTTCCATCCGTTTGATGTGTTTGAGTTTTTGACTTTGACATTTGATAAAGGACTTTCCGATTTGAATTTTCTTTGGAGTTTGGTATTTTTGTGATTTTACTTTTTACAGGTAATGATACATTGTATTTCCTTTAGCGTATAAAATTAACTGTGATATAATTTATTTGTTCGTACACTCCTTTATTTTTTATGAATGGAGAGTAATGTTTAAATAGAAATCATCATTCGTCCGGACGTTTTGACGTAAAAGTATTTCCAAGGGAACTTTCTGAACAGGTGTTCCCCCAGTGAAATATTTCTAATGGACGAAACGGGTAACGAATGAAGATGCAAATATGCTTTAACGTCTTTATACTGGATTTTAAGGTTAGATCATTCGAATAGAGACATTGATTGTCAAAATGCGCATCTGGTCCAGTAAAAGCGGCATCGGCAATGTTATGACACCACTCAACTACGTAAAAATGACAACAAAATAAAACAATAGACTCAAATTAACTTTTTCCATTAACAGCCAGTTGTTTATGCTTTTTTTGTGCGAACGTGCTTTTCAGTGACTGATATAGTAGATCTGGTGAACATTATTCAGGATCATTTATAGTGCATGTACTTCTGTGCAGAAATAGTCTCGGTAAGCTTCATCTTAAAATTATAGATGAGATTAGTGGATACAAAATGTACAACACTGGGAAAATAAAAATAAAATTAAATTATCAAAAATTGCAACATCTGAAAACTCATATTTAATATTGAATGCGTATTTTAAGTTAATGAATTCCGAAGCATTGCCCATTCCTTGGATATAAAAATTCATATTTTCCCCCATAAATGGACATTTATTTTGACTTTCTCTATTATGTAAAGCCATTCAACTGTACACTGTGAGTATCAGTAATGGTATATATTCGGTAGTTAACCATCAAAAATTGTGTAATTGGCATGAGCAACACACACTAAACGAAATGTTGGATTTATGAATGTTGATACACTTATTGCACTTCGGTATTTTGTTTGTAATTTCTTATTACAATTGTTTATGGTTTAAGATTAGAAAATTCATATTTACTGATGGTTCATGTTATCAGTATTTCTGTGGATTACAAAATATATCAATTTATCCTCTGTGTTTTGGAGCTCTTTCAACGGCTATCAGTAACGCCGCCGTTTTTTTTTTCTTTTTTTTTAAATTTTTATTAAATTTATTTTCATGAGGTTATTTACATTTGTTTTTTGTTTGTAATTTCTTATTACAATTGTTTATGGTTTAATATTAGAAAATTCATATTTACTGATGATTCATGTTATCAGTATTTCTGTGGATCACAAAATATATCAATTTATCCTCTGTGTTTTGGAGCTCTTTCAACGGCAATCAGTAACGCCGCCGTTTTTTCTTTCTTTTTTTTAATTTTTATTAAAAAAAATTTCATGAGGTTATTTACATTTGTTTTTGCAATGTTTGTCGATATCTTTCTGTTCTTTTATGTTTGCCACGGTTTGTTGTTTGTCTCTCCTGGACATTTACTTGCCTCCTTGGTATTTTCGTACTATTTGTTCCTTTTTATTATTAATTTTGGATTTATTTTTACACGTTCTAAACATACAATATTCCTTTCAAGATATTAAATGCTGCGAATATGAATTGACTGCTGAAACTTTTTTTCAATATTTTCTTTAGGTAGACAGAAGGAAACCAGTAATGAAAATGAATACGCAAATGTTAATATCGTTACAAAAGTAGATGAGGAAGAGGTTACTTTTACCATAAAAGACGGAGAAGATCTCGAATTTCAAATAGACGACAATGGGGTTGAAAACGAATACTTTAATGTTAACAGTGAACATGACGTTTCTAAGTACAGTATACTGATTGAAGATCTAAAGGAAGCTATAAATGAGAAACAAAAAGACGAAGGTTTCAAGAAAGAGTATGAGGTGAATTATGAACCTTGGCAGTTTTTGTTTTTAATGAAAGCGATACAGTGTCTTTTCTGTGAATCCGACAAGTGTGGTATAGTTTGTTTAATTTTATATACTTGTAAATAGATCTAGCATGGAGATGACAAACGAAGTGATGATATTGTAAATTTGTTCTGAAAGAAAACAGTCGATTTTCAACAAAGTCATTTTCCTGAGAAAAAAAACGGAATAAAAGTGATTTGTTTTAAATGATGCTATTAAAATAATGTGATACATAATGCTGACAAGTAACATATCAATTTTTGTTTCTTTGTAGATGTTTCCTAGAGGGCTTGTGTATGCTCATGTTGAAGGTTCAAAAGAAGAAAATAAAATTAAAAACCGTTTTCTCTCAACATGGCCGTGTATGTAAAACTTAATTATATATGATGATAGTTTTGAAATATTTAAAAGAATAAAATGCTAACTATTAATTTTTAGAATCAAATAGAAAAAAAGTGTCTGAACGTGATTTGGGAACAAAACGCTAACAATTCATATAGCGTTTTCTCTTCTATTGTAGATTTGAATTTTTGTTCGTATAGACAGTCTATGAAGCTCGTTATTATTTTCTAATTTTATTTACAAAACGATGTATTTAGATGCCAAGAATAAAGAAAATTATAATCCTGTAGAGGCAATTGACGAGTCTTATCTTGTTTGTTTTTTTTATGTTTTGTAACATTGTCTTGGAGTTTTTAAATTGCATTTAATAACTTTATCTAATATACCAATTTTGAAAGTTCGAAATGATAACATTCAACAGGCAATTGAACCCAATACATCAACAATCAGATGAAGAAATTTTTTCGATATATACATCAACTAATAGTACTCCGGCGTAAAAACAAGAGCAAACTAGATGATGATATCGCGAGTTCACTTTCCAAAACAACAACCTAAACTTATATAAGTACAGCGAAAATGAAATTCAGGATATCAAATATAATTTGATGCACTGTATGAAGATTTTTTACCTAAAACTTTGAAGAAACTGAAGAGACCACTCTTATGAAATATTCTAATTCTTACGATAAGGGAGAATTAGAGCATCATTTGCTATTGTTTTCTGCTATGAAACTACAAAAATTATTTTGAAAAAAGGACTAGGAAATCCTTTTTTTTTTCATCATCAAGTGGTGTTCAAAATATAAATAATATCACTCGCACAAGCCAAATATATTGTATAGGAATAACACCACTAATGCATAGACCCAATGCTTTCTATGTTAAATTCTGCAACTTCAAACATTCATAGCAATGTTGTCTTAAGTTCAAATAAAGGGATAGTCATTTCATGTCTAAACTATACCTTATCCTGACTTGTACAAAAACAGGTACTTCTAATCTGATTAAAAGGGCAAATAAGCCCTTGTATTTTTATTTCATGTTTTTTTATCATTCAAAGGAAACTTTTACCAAGGGTTCCACAAGGATCCCAAGTCCTGAAGCTTTCGTTTGATAACAAAATTACCCAGAATTTTACTTATTGAAAAAGTTACAGCTTAGCGTAGGAACTATTGTGTTTAAAATAAGTAATACTTTCTTATATGCTCTTTCTGACCGGGCCGAATTGGTGGTTCTTTACCTATAAGGATATTTTTCAAGCTTCTAGACCAGTGTTTCCAATATAAGCATGACACATACGATGCTACTTTTACTAAGTTTTAAGTTTAACATTATGTAAATATTTGTTCTAATTTGAGGACCAAATGGGATTTCTTTAATTTTAAAATATAATTTGAATACAATTATTAGTCCAATGTAGGAAATACACCAATGTCAGGTAATATGCGGAATCAATGTTTGAATGTATTGTTTTCATTCAATTGTATAAAATGTTTATTTGTAGATGACCATTCACGAGTTATTCTGAACGGAAACACTAAGAATGATTATATAAATGCTAGTTACATTGATGTAAGTTAAAAAAAAAACAATTTCTATCATATAGTATTTACAACAATGTACGTTTTCGTGTATGTCTTTATCTCAATTGAGACATTTTTAAAAACTCAAACGTCCGGGTCAAATGTAATAACAGTATTAAGACGAAAATTCCTATTGATTTCTAAGTCACTTGGTCTAAGGGCAATGTCATACTTACTAAACGTAAATTTGTTTGAGACGGTATTACAATCTTAAATAATATTTTTTATGGGAACATGAAAGTACGTGAGCTTGTCCACTTTAGCATTCTTTCCTTTTTTTAGTGTTGTTTCATTTTACTTTCAGTCAATGTATTGTAAAAATCAGTTGTGTAATTCCGTAATATTGGTGAAAGATACTTGATTTTTTGTGGTTTAATTGTTGAAAATATAGCTTACAATAATTTAAATATTCTGTTTTAGAAACTGAAGTCAAATAGTATCATGACCATCTTCCAACGGAGCTTGTTGCCCACCGTCATTTTACATCAAATTTATGAAAATTTGGATGTTTTTTCGTATAATTCTCAAGAAAATATTTCAATGGGTTAAAAAATTTATATTGTAAATATACACACTGCAGTTATTCATAAATAAATAAAAAAAATATAGTGTACCCTTTCATCCAATCACAGAACTCCTAAGTTGACTTCCTTTACCTGCCGTGGGTACTCAAAAGGCCAACCTAAAGCCCTATAGGTTTTATTATGTATTGGCATTGTAGTCGAAAAAAACAATAAAAATGTGAGGACTAATTGATGGATAAATATGATAGATCTCAAAGGGAACCCGCCTTATACTATATCTACACAATAATTTAAAATTTTAAACTTTAATATGAAGACAAATTGCCCTATCCAGACACAAAATTCTGACTGCGAGCCGACCAGACTTTGCTCTTACTCCTGTAGTAGGAAATACAAATGTTCTAGTTCTTGATTTAACCGTGGGGATCCAACCCACGCTCACCTGCAGAATAGATCACGCTACAATGAAACTCAGGAGGTTTTGAATGGATGGGTATTTAACGTTCATTTGCAAATATTAAGTGCATATTCAGGGCAAGAACCTGTTAATGTTATGGTAAAAAAAAATGCGTTGTACAAGACCTTCACCCTGAGCTAGTTCTTTTTCCGTGCCAGTTCACAAACAAACCGTCAACAGGAAGACATGTGATCCTACATGAAACTGATTCTGACTCTAAACCCACCAGTCTTTGATCTTCATACGAAATCTGCATTCTTTTTGTTGAAGCAGCGAATGAAATACTAAAAATCCATTAAACCAATATGCAAAACGTCGAAGACGGACAAATATCCAATAAGCAAAAATAAGATGGACGTAAAGGCAAAAACGCTGTATATTAACAATTAACATAAAACCAGATAATGAATTTAGATTCTCCCCTGTATTAAATCATACCTATTTTGCTGTCTTGTTAGTGATAATAAAAACTTGATAACAACGATGATAAATAGTTTAGATTTCTTCCTTTTTACCTTTACAGAACTATGAAATTAAAAAGGCATACATAGCAGCACAAGGTTCGTAAAGAATTTTCCATTCTTGATTTTTTTTTCTTTCTTTTTTTTGTTGTGATATTTCAAAATCAATGTATACAACTAAAATATATTTATTGGTATTGTTTTTCTACTTAAACATTGAATTTTCATGTGTTCAGTAAACATTCTGAAATCCGTATTCGTTCCTTCTATTTGCATAAAATATTGTGCATAGTTGCGATTTAATTATATATTCACCTCAGTATTCAGAACTTCGTTACTGGCATGATTTATAACAAACCTTTCTACAATTGTCCGTTTATAAATTTTGAAATCATTAAGAAATTAAGGTTTCAACTCCCTCAGGCAAAGTTGGACTTAGAAGGATTTGGCTATTATTTTTGATACTTTTTGATTATATAGCTCTTCAATGGTTTCGGTTCTTATTCATCCTTGGCTTTCAAATAGTACGGCTGTTAGCGTTCCTGATAAAGGTAAATCCAGAAAAGCGCTCGGACGCATGAAATTTATAACGTATTGTTTTCATTTTTTCTGTTTATCTATTATTGCTACAGTGCAACCAGTAAGAATTCCTGATTTCGACTTGTTTATCACAGCAAAACGAATATCTTTTTGGTGTAATTGGTAAATTATATCAATGCAAAGAAACAAACTCTAAGCCTTCGTTTGAATGTTATTTGAGATGTTTACATATTTTGCTTGAACATTCACAATGTTGCTTTTAAAAAAAGATGTTTCAAATCTTACTATCAGAATGGCACCAATATGAAAAAAAAGGTCAGTAGTTAAAAAAGATAAAAATTGTACAATAGAACAATTGTACATTCATGAAGGTACAAAACAATTGCTTTGGTTAAAAAGAGAAAAAATTGAATAAAGTATAACGCTATTGGGAACTTTAGTAGTTTGCGTATTCTTTCAAATGTTTTTGCATACAAGTGTCTGTTTTCCTTATTGACACGATAAAAATATTTTAGTTCCACTTTTTTTTTAATATCAAGGTCCTAAAAAGAATACAGTGAGAGATTTCTGGCATATGATCTGGAAGGAAAATGTTAGGAAAATAGTGATGGTAACACAGCTTATAGAAAATCAAAAGGTAACAAATTGCTTAACCACATTTCATAATGTTATTATTTTGTCTACAAATGATTTTTTAAAAGGTAATAATAAGTAAATTTTCAACAAAATTAAATATATTTCGTTTGATATTTAATGATAAATCGAGACATGAATTTACACTATTAGTTTTGTTGGACATTCAAATTTTCACTTCTGATAATCAGGCAAAAAAGTGCATAACTTCGGATATAAAGTCAAAATTAAAATGCTCTGAGAATGTATGCTAATTTAAACCAATTCATTTTCTACAGAGAAAATGTGAACAATATTGGCCTGAAACACTGTCTGAACCACTGGTAGTAAACAACTTCAAAGTTACAATGACGAAAGAAAAGGAACACACATTTTATGTGTACAGGTTATTAACAGTATCGCTCAAAAACGCTACGGTAATTTTATTATTTTCTTCATTACAGCGCTAGTTTAACAGAAAAGCTAAATAACACAAAGAACTTGTCGAATCAGCATACAATATTTTAATCACTCAAACAATATTTCCAAAATTTTATTTTATCAGTATTTTATTACTGATATATGTACTGAAACTTGATATAAATAGTGGTATATTAGAAATGACTTCCTTTGGAATGTCTATCTTCAAATACCAAACTATGACCAATAATCGGGATTTTATGAAAAGAACTCGTAGGAGCAACTGTGGACGGTTGACCGGATATGAATTGGCTGTTCAAAACAAACCCTGTTATATTAAATTGTTGTAAAAAAAGATAACCTACGGAATAAATGACACGGTTAGGGTTTGGGTATATTTGGTATCAAACCAGAACATGCAGAAGGTAACGACAGATTGAAATCATGACATCTTAAAACGAAATCTGTTTTTTGTGGTGAAGATGATTAATTGATTGATTGATTGATTGATTGGTGATTGCTTTACGCCGCATCAGCACAAAAGGCTATACCGCTGCGAGTGGTGAAATTTTAAAGACGACATATATGTTTTAATTGTCGTAACCACCATCCCATCCTTCCTTCCTCGAATGTACCTTCATGCACAACACGACTGGTGCCACATTTGGAGCAATATTTTCTTACCTTTCCGGACTTCTTGAGATCACCCGGATTTTGGTCGATTTTCGTTTTTTGCCATGGCATTATCAGTTTGTTTTCGACTTTGAAAATCAGTTTGATATATTCCGCCTCTCTTTTATGTGCGGTGATAAATTTTTGTTTTATTTTTCTTGCAATTGGGCTCATTTTTCGATTTGATACTTACACTTTTATGTTTATTAATTTTCAATTTATAAAGACATGAACATTAAATGACTGCAATTAAACAATATATTACTTCACAGAATATTATAAGGAAGGGAATATTATTTTAAAATTCTATTTTGAAACAGGTTTTCCGGTATACAACAAATTTCAAACTTAACATGAGGTCACTTAAAACCCCATTTTTTAAAACATTTGTCTTTGGATTTTTTAAGTGTAAAAAATCCCAAATGAGACCGATATGTTTTCATATTTACATTGTTTATATTTCGCCATCTTAAAACCGGCACATATTGAAAAGATTCTTACTGCTAGACGAACGAATTTTATTTTTCATGAACGAGATAGATGAAAACTTTAACAATGTTAAAAATGTATTAATGTATCGTATGGATATAACATTAAAGGGGCATTAGCTGTCAAATTCCTGTTCATCGATTTGACTCAAATTCTCATATTTGATTTGTAACATACTAAAACGTATATCCAAATTACAATTAGTCTGAAATAAACAATTAAAAATGCATGGACTCGATAATATATATCAACATTTCGTGTGTATTTTTGTCTAGACGCCATCTAATCAACCATCGAGATGACAATCGAAGACTGCCGACGGTCACATAACCCGATATAAACATAAACATAAATATAAATAGATAGCGACCTAGTGCAATTGGACTTTTCTAGGTCTGTTTGATTTCATGTTATAGGTTTAAAATATAAGTTAATCATCGTTTTTACCTGTATAAGAATGATTTTTTGTGGATCGAATCAGTCAACGAAATGATTCACCTTTGTTTCACTTTAAATGTTGACATTCTTTTCCTTTTAATGGCTGAACACGACTTATACATGCGTAACCAATCTCTAGCTAATGGGTTAAATTGAAGGTCACATGAATACGGATTCAATGAGGTCGAATTATTCACTTGCAAGTGAATAATTCATCAGCGATATTTCTTACCTTGTTTTGACAAAATTGAACTAAACTGGCTGCTAAAAGCGAATTATTATTTCACTATTTCACTTTCATTAATGATTGAACAAAACAAAATCACACTTAATTTTTTTTATGTCTCGTAGCTAATGCCCCCTAAAGTATAACACTAATAACTTTGATAAACAACTTGCTTATTCTCGTAATGGTCATGTTTTTCTATGCTAATTTGTTCAGTCCTTTTTATTAGCATGGGATATTTCCATGCCTTGCTAATTTTTTATATATTGTGGGTCAAAATAACTGTGTATATCGTAGCAGCTAGGATTACCAATATTTTTTATTTTATTGTAGAATGGACAGGAAAGAAAAATTCACCATTTTCATTTCATGCAATGGCCAGACCATGGTGTTCCTGACAGCATAAAACTGGTCGACTTTTACAGGAAAGTCAAAAGTGAAAAATGTAACCAAAATGGACCAATGGCTGTACACTGCAGGTATATCTGCAAGGAGAAAAAATCGACTGGTTTATATTACTGGTTCAAAATCTCTTCATCAAATATCATATAAAATCGCATTTTTTTATTAAAAAAAACAACTGGAATAATATATCCAATTCAATATCGTACATTATTTCAAAAATGTGCCTAATAAACCACTCAAAATCATATTAGTTTTTACTTCTTACATACATTTTATATTTAAAGCTATAATTTTTTAAGTAAGACTAGTAATCCAATTACTTCATCAATTCTTTAGCGCTGGAGTTGGAAGGACCGGGACATTTATAGCTATAGATGCATTATATGAGCATGGAAAGAAAGTTGGTTATGTAAATGTTATGGAATATATAGAGATGATGAGGAAAGACAGAATGAATATGGTTCAAACATACGTAAGTAACATTGTTGAAGAAAGAGCTTTACGCAGTCTGAATGACACCCCAAAAAACCTGTGGCTGTAATCATTCGCTATTGAGTTGTTTCATTCTTAGAATGAAAATGACTTGCATTATTTAGCTATACATGTATTGAACATACCTTTTTCTAGAGTTATGAGATTCCTTAAAGGAAACAAAATATCAAAAATATCAAAAACACCCTTCCTTGGCTTTCACATATTCGTTCCTGATGAAGGTAAATCCAGAAAAGCGCTTCGGACGCATGACATTTATGTTGTGTTGTTTTCATTTTTTGAAAGGGACCAAATCAGAATAACCATGTTTTATCAGAATGAATAAGTTCTGTTATTAAGAAACTTCCAAGCATTCTTTTTGCTAGGTATAGTTTGTTGCTTTCTGTGAAGTTTTATTTTGAATGTTTGTTCTGTCAGCTCTTATTTGAAAAAAAAGATATTAATAAATTAGCTTTATAAATCCAGAGATTCAAACTGGAAAATGAAATATCCCCAAAAAGGTATACCTGCTAGTCATGTTTTGAAATTGAATCGCTCATCATTCCCGATTGAGATTTATGACCGGATTTATTTACGTGCATTAGCACTACGACGGGTGCAACATGTGGAAGCAATAACTGATTACCCTTCCGAAGTTCTTAAGTTCACTAAGTTTTTTTGCTGGAGTTCGTGATACTCAATCTTTGTAATTTAAACGAAACATGATAAAGCTAATACTTTGATAATATTTAAGTTAAGCAATGCTCATTAGCAGTTACTCTCATGACCATAAGATTGGAGAAGCTTATAACATTTTTTTTGGATCATTTAAATCAGAAATAAATTAAACGAGACAGCACTAATCTATAATAGTATAAGTTGATGTGAAATATTTTTATTTGATACAACTCTCAATCGAAACTAAATAGGGAGAATGTGAGTATATACACATTTCTACTGTTAAAAGACCCAAATTGTAAAAGGATGGTTCAACCAAATAGGGAGAAACTGAAAAACCAGCGGTCCTAGTTGAATCAAATTAAGGAAAAGAAATAGAACACGTAAAAAAAGACTGAATTGGCAGGTTAATGCTTCGAACGAGTACTAGTATATTGAAAAAGTGTCTGGCATGCTTAAGCATTCTATTAGCAGGTGAACTTCCTTTATTTCAAGAAATATATCTGACTGAGTACTGAACTTCATCAAGCTGGAAGTAGGAGACTCATGGGAACGGCACTATTTACTGAGAGGTATTATCCAATTGAACAATAAACAAGATAAAAACGTTCGACAATTTATCACTTTCAATTACTGTAGCTATCTTATCATTTCAACTGTGAAAACGAAATGTTTATCATATACATGTACGGTTCTGGTGTTAGTTTATTCGAGACTTTTTCCTATATTCATGTCCTTACCGATAAGAAACAATAACTCAGAACCTCACACCTTATTTTAAGGGACAAACATTACATTTCAAAAATTAGAATATCGTTGAATATGACATATTGCAATTACAGGAACAATATGAGACTGTCTTTGAAGCCTTGTTAGAACTGTTTACAGTACAAAAAACGTCTATTCCGACGAATAATTTCTGTCAATATATTTTGGACCAAGAACAGAAGACCATACCACGAAATCAGAAGATGTATAAAGTAGAATTTCAGGTATAATTCTTGTTCATTTGAAGTGAAAAAAGAAACATGTCGCATTTATGCCTGACATAAAATCCCTCAAGGCACTTTTGTCGACTTTAAAACAGTAGTCTCTATGCTATGAAGTCGTTTTGGTTAAACTCAATCTTGTAAGAAAATGTTGAAGAGTAATTTTTGATATCAACATGTCTTTTAACTTTTACATATAACGTCACGAAACCAGTTAACCTAGTTCATATTTTTGTTATTATTGTAATCAATAATCATGGTGTTAATATGAGTACATATCCATGATATTTGCGTGAGAACTTTTATTTTTGAACATCGTTATCAGTTACAATAACTAATGTTTAATTTAGAGATTGCAAACCTTACGACCCATGTATCCTCCATCAGTATTTGCTGCTGCAACATTAAAAGAAAATATATCGAAAAATTCAGCAAAGAAAATATTTCCACGTAAGTAATCGTATTTTCAGATTACCCAATAATAATTGTGCACACGAAACAATATAATTTTGTTTTACTTGCATTTACTTTTATATTTAAGTTTAACAAATCTGATCAATTAAGAAACATGAAGGAAAATACAAAACTACGCTGGAATTTCGAATTCCATGAAATATTCAAAGCATAATTTATTTGACTCAAACATATCCATTATAAAACGTTTTTTTGCAATATATGATTAATCTTGAGTCGAGAATAGATTTAATCATTTCATCCGACTTTCAAAAAGAAAAAGTGTTTTAAGAGTATCTTTGGTATTTCGTATTTTGACCTGGTGTTGTAATTCTTTCTTCGTTTTGTGAATTTTGGTATCTTATTTTCTCTTTTTCTCTCCCCGTCTATCATTTTAAATGTCAATTTGGTATCTGCATTTCGACTTCAATAGTTTGTCACAAAACCTGCTATCAGATTAGTGATATTTAATCAATTTGCAATGATTTCTTGTTAAGTCGACTCTATAAATATGTAAGTTTTGTAAAATCCTTTAAAGGTATTAAATTTGATCCTTATGTATTTATTCATCGTATGCATTATACACTCCGTACATGGATGGTGATTGAGAATAAATCTGTAAATGCCTTTCAAATGTTTTACCTATATCAATAAAAGAAATAATAGATTAAATTTGAAAGCATTTCATATGGTAGAGTTCTCCCTGCTTAAAGAAATGTATTTATTTTATTTTGTTTTAGATGACAGATATAGACCGTATCTTATGTCATATGGTAAAACACGTAATGACTACATCAACGCAGTGATAATACCAGTAAGTGGCATTTTAACACTTCGTATATTTAAGGTTTCAGAATAATCATAATGACATATCGATAGATAAGATGCTAATAAAATCAATTAGTTTAACATATGAATGCTTAAATTTGCATCGGGTTTTATCAGCATGTGTTGAAGGAAGTGAAATCGGAATCTAACTTTTTTACTTTCGACTGTCTACCAAAGGGACTCTTGCCACATTGCAATACACTGTTACTAAAGGACTGGAAAATTACCATATTTCTTTACTCCGTCAACCATTTAGGGTTATTACAGGATGAAAGATAGAGATAGGTACCATATAATTATATCATGAAATTACTTGTTCTGTTCGTCCAGTTTGTAAGTGAACTCGAAATGTTTTGGATAAAATAGCAAAGATAATCAACTTTCTTTCAAAAAAGCAGTGTAATGATTAATTTTATAGTTTGTCTACATATTTATTTCATAAACAAAACAAGGCTGTACCGCACAAGGAGTGTTCCTTGCATATACAGCTGACCTATGTTCCAATAGCTGGTTGGTTTTCAGGTAAACGTTTAAATAAAAAAAAATTCTCAGTCTCATCCACCTTAATCTGTCGGTCACACAAACAAAACTGATGTATACAATTTGTTAAAATATTTTGGCAAAGTGAAAACGAATACCATATTCCCTATTTCATTTCATGTTTAATACATTTTTATCTATTCCTTCACAGGGATATGCAGATAAGAGTAAATTTCTTGTAACACAATGTCCTCTGCAAGAGACTGTTGTTGATTTCTGGACAATGGTATATGACCATGACTCAAAAATTGTTGTATTGTTAGATCAGTTGAACAAGGTAAGATAGCCTAAATTGACTAGGGGTTAATTCAGTTCTAATGAAAAGTCCAAATTTTAACCTTCCAAGAATTACAGAGTACAGTGGAAATCTTCTAAAATAAATTTCTGTGTACTAAATAGTATGCATTTAGTCACACGCCATCTACAATAACCAGTACAGATGTATATAAATTAATGTTTTTCATGACAAATATAGAACCGTGAATTAATTTTCAAAAAATTGTTTAAACTAGTGTTATTTCGATTTGCTCAGTAAAATGTAAACTAAAGGTATTTCACTGATTTAGCATTTGTATAACAAAATGTGCGCATTCAATTGACCAAAACTGTATTCAAAGATACGAAAGTTTTATATTTCATAGAATGGTCAGTTGTGGTTAGGTAAAAATGAAGTGCTGGAGTTTGAACATTTTACCATTTTACAAGAAAATGCGTCCAACACCGAAGAGCTGCAGCTGACTTTACACTCTAAGGTGAATATTACAAATTAAACCTTAAGATTAACGATGTTTATATAAGGAACAAAATCAACACGAAATGAATTACATCTAGTAGAAACAAGGAGTGTTCATAAGAGTAAAAATGCTGTCAAAACCAGTTGTATTTTGAGTATTCATTGGCATGAAACGTACATATAATACATTTATAGTTAATTCTGCACTGCTTGTTCATGATTTTATAAATTATATGATACGGAAGTCAATCGGATTAACCTCAAATCGAGGAGAACAGCAATATTAATATAATTAGACAATCAACAGTCCTCATATCTTATCCCAGAAAACAATAATGTTGAGCAGCACGAACCCCTTTGTTCATGAACTCGACTATTCCATCTTATAAAATTCACTATGGGCATTTTTCAAGATAACACATTCTTTCAGTGTTGGCTTAATAATGGGTGGAGAAGTTGTTTGAAGGCAATGCATTTGTCGACAATAAGATTGTCGTTTCATTCAATCAATTTGTAGACAGATGAGTGTTTTTAAAAAGAAATATTGGAGGAATATGACCGTTGTTTTCCATTCATTTAATGTGTTTGAGCTTTTGATTTTGCCATTTGATAAGGGACTTTCCATTTTGAATTTTCCTTGGAGTTCGGTGTTTTTGTTATTTTACTTTTTTGGAATAATGAACAATTTAGATAAAACAAAACTGCCTTGTCGTCAAGGTTCAAAACAAATGAAAAGAAGAAGATTAAGAACATACTTCAATAAAAAAAACATATACAAATATAAAAGAGAATATATTCTTTCGTCAACAATAAAAAATAGATATTTCAACCCTAAATTCCCTAATTAAAAACATAACGATATAACTTAAGACACCGACCGTAAACAATTTCTGACTCGGGACAGGCACATGAATATGTGGTGAGCTTGGGACAGTTTTGGACAGTGTGCAGGTGTAATACCACCAAATCAAAGTACGTCACATCCGGTTGCATACGAAAAAGGGTCGACAAAAATATTCCCTTGAATTTGACATTTGTAGGAAATTAATCCTACATTTCATTGCAGTAAAAAAATTCTGAGTCATAAATATATATCTTGGGTGTTTCAAAGCACCCTTATTGTCGAGCCTTCGACTTTAGTCGAAAAGGCGAGACATAGCGATCCTACATTCCGTCGGCGTCGTTGTCGTCGTCGTCTTCGGCGGCGGCGTCAACAAATATTCACTCTGTGGTTAAAGTTTTTAAAATTTGAATAACTTTCTTAAACTATCCTGGATTTGTACCAAACTTGGACAGAAGCTTGTTTAATGATCATAAGATAGTATCTAGAAGTAAATTTGTTAAACAAAAATTTCATTTTTTCCGTATTTTACTTATAAATGGACTTCGTTTTTCTGCCAGGAAACAATACATTCACTCCGTGGTTAAAGTTTTTAAAATTTTAATAACTTTCTTAAACTATCCTGGATTTGTACCAAACTTGGACAGAAGCTTGTTTATGATCAAAAGCTAGTATCTAGAAGGAAATTTTGTTAAAATTTTGTACCTGTTTATCCGTATTTTACTTATAAATGGACTTAGTTTTTCTTCTAGTTAACATTAAATACAGTCTGCAGTTAAAGTTTGTAAAACATTTATTAGATTCATAAACTATCCTGGATTTATACCAAACTTGGACAGAAGCTTGTTTAATGATCATAAGATAGTATCTAGAAATAAATTTGTTAAACAATAATTTCATTTTTTCCGTATTTTACTTATAAATGGACTTCGTTTTTCTGCCAGGAAACAATACATTCACTCCGTGGTTAAAGTTTTTAAAATTTTAATAACTTTCTTAAACTATCCTGGATTTGTACCAAACTTGGACAGAAGCTTGTTTATGATCAAAAGCTAGTATCTAGAAGGAAATTTTGTTAAAATTTTGTACCTGTTTATCCGTATTTTACTTATAAATGGACTTAGTTTTTCTTCTAGTTAACATTAAATACAGTCTGCAGTTAAAGTTTGTAAAACATTTATTAGATTCATAAACTATCCTGGATTTATACCAAACTTTGACAAAAGCTTCTTACAATCAAAAGATAGTATCTAAAGGAATATTTTTATTGATGTTTTTCCTCATTTTTGTTGAGCCTGCGATTAACAGCAAAAGTAGGCGAGACACTGTGTTATCGCGGAACCCTTACGAATTTTTTTTTATTTGGTGTTTCTATAGAATATTTTGGAAACTTGAGGTTACATGGTTACTAAAGCTTGTACACAGGTAAAATAAAGGGGTGAAAATTTGATTGGTTAACTTCCAGTGATGATTATTTTCTTATATGCAATGAAATGTTATGTGAAATTTTTTTCCAAAGTACTGGACAGGATAAAACTTTACTCATGCCAAGTATTTCTTTATTTGAAACAAAGATAAATTCTGCTAAATTTTTTGAAAAGTGCAAATTTAACAAAGACTAATAGGGGAAATCAATGGTGGTATAACACCTGTATACACTACTTCATATTCTGGCATCTCTACCCTAAAAAGCTTCAACTGTTATAGAGCACTTTAGAATAGAACTATTACATTTTATTCTGAAAGTTCTTGTCTTGATACGTTGCACATTGCTTATATTCTTTTGAGTTGTGTAAAATTTCAAGGATATGTCCTCTTATATATCATGTATATCTTACGTCTTTTTTAATTCATATATTAAGATTACCTCGAATTGAATAATGTATTTAATAGTTCTATATTGGACAAATATTTTTGTTTAAGTGATTTTTCAAAACTCTTAATTTTACATTTCTGTAAGACCGATTCTTGTTGACATTCCGTTTCACTCAATAAAATATTATGATTAGAAACATAATAATCAAGATTATTATGATGAACTGGAACAGTTCCCGTATGTTAATTTTTGAAAATCCCCTATATCTCTCTCTCTCTCTCTTCTCTTAAGAAAAAGGACCAGAGGAAAATTACTGTTTTTACGGCAACTAAATTGAACGTCACGAGTGATGTAATGCTTCCATCAAGTATTCTGCTAGATCTTCTGAAAAAAGTTAAAGATTGCTGGGAAACAGATAAAGGATATATTACTGTTGTGAGCAGGTATGTCATTAAAAATGTGTAATGATTATAATTTCTATAGTTTTATTTTTAAACTGAAATGCGAAATGAATGAGGCGAATCATTAATCATATTTACTAGGCTTACTTTAGTTTGTCGCAAGTTGGTTCTCACTATCTTTTTTAATATATATATAAACAAATGTGAGTTTGATGTACATCTGTATATACTGTGGGTTCTATTATTTTTGTGGATTTAAAAACAAATTGTATATTCATGAATATTGAATTTCGTGGTTTAGTTAAAATCTGAACATCAAAGTTCATGGTTTATCTTTACCTACGATATCCACAAAAATTGGTATCCCACGAATTACAATGAATCCACAGCAGGTGTTTAATTATGCATCGCTTAGTCATATTTTCTGAAATAACTAGTTTGGAGGACTGTTGTGACAATTGCCGTCAATTTTTATAGAGAAATGTTAATATTGATAAAAATAAATGAATAATCATGGATGGTTGTTATTGTTCTATTCTAAATCAATTTTATATCAATATGAATCACAGTTTGAATTAAAAAGACAACAGTCATATTGATCTTGTCGGAACAAAATGAAATGATATGTCTTGATAATATTGTAAGATAGTATTAAGCCTTGCAGTTACTGTAGAACTGTTCATATAGTTCGCTTGAAGCCAGTCCAGTTTAGTTTAATCCCTTTTAAGACACTATTGTATAGGTTAAATAACCTTTGCCATGTTTTCATAACATTTATAAAACAAATAAATGTTTATTGAACTAAATATATAAGTGGCTCAAAAAAAATGAATACCCTGCATTGGACTGAAAGACTGAAGATGATCTGCTCATTAACTATGTAAATTTTATCGATAGATTAAGATCGACAAAGATGATTGATTATTGGTTGCTTAACGTCCTGTGTCAAATATTTCATGCATGTTCAGGACGATGATCGACATAGAAGTTTCAACTCACAATATATATATTTATACTTCTATGCATAGTAACGGATTAACTGTTAAAATCAGTAAACTACCACAAATGACTTTTACAGACCAATATACAGTCTTCATTAATAGACAAATGCCAATAACACATATTTATCTTTGAATCGTCCGTGTTTATACAAGCTTTGAAAATACAACTGTAGATGGTCATATATTTGAGGTTATTCCATTTACGTGAAAATCAAATAAATAAACTCATCATAGATACCAGGAATGACATTTTATATTTGCGCCAGACTCGCGTTTTGTCTACAAAAGACTCATCAGTGACGCTCTACTCAAAAAAGGTTAAAAAGGCCACATAAAGTACGGATTGGAGAGCATTGAGGACCAAACATTCCTAAAAGTTTTGCCAAATACAGCTAAGGTAATCTATTCCTGAGGTAGAAAAGCCTTAGTATTTCAAAAATTCAAAGTTTTAAAAACAGTTTATTTATAATTATGACTATATCAATGATAATTCATGTCAACACCGAAGTGCTGACTAAAATAGATGTTTTGATACCCTACTGCTCAGTGATAATTCTCAAACAATAGATAGGTGCAGAAAATGTTGAAGTGTTTATTAAACCACTGAATTTTAGTTGCTGTTACTTTATCAATTCAATGCTTAGTATAAAACAAAAGATGTGGTATGATTGCCAATGAGACAACTCTCCACCGGAGACCAAACGACATAGAAGTTAACAACTGTAGGTCACTGCACTACCTTCAACAATTTGCAAAACCCATATCGTATAGTAAGCTATAAATGGCCCAAAAATGACAAAGGTAAAACTAACGGACTAATCAAGGTTTACTTGATACAACATACAACATAGAAAATAATATATACAAACACATAGCTGAGATATTGATAGAGCAAATGTAACTCCGAGAAAATATTGTCAACCGAGGCGAGGCCAAGTGTTTTTTCGATGCATAGCAATTTGCTCTTTCACCCGCTCAGCTATATGTTATTTAATGTTTTATACTAAATTTTCTGTCATTATTGTGCTTTAAATTTTAATTTGAAAGTAATCAATTATGACATCATGTACATAACAACCATCCGTTTTTAATAAAGAGCACTATTGGGTCTATGAAGCGTAATCTCTCACGTATCAACCAATCAAAATTCTGCATTTTAAAGTGAAGGATAATACTATCCTTTATTTACAGCGATGGTTGCACTAAGATTGGGCTGTTTGTTGCACTATATCTTACTTTGGAAAAAATTGAGATAGACGATGAAATTGATGTGTTTCAAGTGGTTAGAGCGATGCAAGTTAGACGTCCTGAATTTTTCATGGAACTAGTAAGTTTTCCTTGATAAAAAATTTGTAATAACATTAACGGTACCAATGTTATTGCACCAGATGAGCGTTTCGACAACTAATGTCTCTTCTATATGATGCTTGAAAACAAAATATTCAAAAGTCCAACACATTATACAAACGTTGGAGAGCTGAAAAAAAAAGTAAATCCAAACCCAGGCAAGGAATTAGAGCTATGCATGAGGGAGATACATTACTTTATTTGAAATACGTTCTAAATTTTTTAAATAAAGCAAATTTTAATAGAAAAATATCTGTATTTTCATGCCAGTAACAAAGTACTGGCTACTGGACTGGTGATAACTTCTGGGATTAACATTTCACAAGCAGATGTATCGTCTTTTGAATTTCAGAAATAAAATAAATGCTTTAAGGTTCTTTTTTTTTAGAAAACTAAAAGATCCTGATCAAGATAATTTCCAAATCGTCATCTCATATTTTGCGGGAAAATCGATATACGTCCCATTTTTCCCGTGATTTTGAATATGCAGAGCAAATGTAGGCAAAGACTCGTATACATATATTCGATTAATGTTAAGAAAAACTCCAACACATTCCTTTTGTTACTTATCATTTAATAATAATATGCAAATCTCTAAGATTTCAGCACAATAAAATTTTATTGCGACGTAGTCATAATTAAAAAAATGGGTATTACAAAGAAACATTGAACGTTAATCGTCACCCTAAAATTTATTTCCGTTGGACGACTATTTGAATTTTAGGAGGGGCAGGAGGATAATGAAAATGAATATCCTGGCCGGGTAAGAGCTGAAAATAAATTGATGTTGACCAAAGCAGGGTGGAAATTAATATCAGCAACACAAAATGCAAGAATTGATTGTGAACAAACGTGTAAAAACATTTAAGCGCGTTTTTGCCACAGAAAAAATAAGCATGCGTAGCAACAGATGAAAATAAAAATTCCATCCGAAAAAAATCTTTCTGTCCCCTCCTGTGGTTTAAACCTCATACTTAAATAATGCTGAAAATATTCTAAAAGTCTTGAATTAATCAAATGTGGTTTGCAATTCCTTCATAGCAGATATTTTATTTTTCTACAGGAGCAGTATGAATATTGCTACAAGTGTGTCAAGGAATATTTAGAAAGAGACTCGCTGTATGCAAATCTTTAGTTTCGTCAGTGTTTGTTTCGTTATAATTAACTTTAGAACACATATATTTACATACTGAAATGTTATGACGAAATAAAAGTAAGAAGTCAGATTTTAAAGAAAACTGTAATTACATGTCTATGTGGACAAATCAAATTGTTCGGTTTTGTATACATTATTGATTAACATTGTCTACGATATATATCTATGATATAGTTTTAATTAATCGGAAAACAGATAATAATCATATTTATTAACCGTGATTTTGATATAAATGTGTAAAACTCTAGTATATTCTAAGGATAAACCTTGAACGACCTTGGATATAGAGAAATTTTTCTTCAAAAAAAGTCAAAATTCAAAAATATTGAGATCAGTCAATTTCAAATTGGTGATTAAAAAACTTGAGCAAAAAACTGATGAACATCAAAGTTATATTCAGTGTTGTCGGGCGAGAGGATGCACTTCAGTTTTCACAAATTGGGCTTTTTTTATTAATTGAAATGTGTTTATTTGAGAATTCAAAACCAAATAATTAAAAAATCTTTTAACAGAACTCAAAGTTGATGATTTGAAAAATATTGTGTCAAAAGTTTGGCTTATTTAAGTTCCTTTTAAAAACTTTTATATGTAATAAAAATTTTCTATCCAAAGAAATTAATTTTATTGGTGGTAAGTTTCTGTTGTGATACAATTATTATAAATGCACACAAAATCGATAAGTTATCATGTTATATTTCATACATCACTATTTGGATTTTTTTTTCAATTCATGCACTGAGTTCGGTAGTACAGTAATGTTGGGATTAGTTCTTAACTCTCTTCAGACCTGACGGAATAATCCACCATAAAAATGTTTTAAAGTAGAACTGTAATATTATGTTTTAAATGTTGAACTATACAAAACAGCTCTACGGTATAACTGTCAAAATCTGTTCCATGGTAAACTGTCAGGATCTATTCTACGTTAGAACTGTCAGAATCAGTTCTATGATAGAACTGCCATGATTTGTTCCAGGGTATAACTGTCAGTATCGTGCGATAGAATTGTCAGAATCTGTTCTACGATAGAGCTATCAGAATTTTTTCCAGGATATACCTGTCATGATCTGTTCAGGGTAGAATGGTAAGAATCTGTTCTCGGGAAGTATTGTCAGGATTTTTCTAACAACTATTTTAAACACTATCAGTCGACTATGCTGGTATCTTAAGATCTTAGAAATTTTATTCAATCGACATTGTTTTAATGCAAATACTCCTGAATTGAAGATATGTATTGATGTAATCGAGACTTCATTTGTTGTTGTCACTTTTACTATAAAGTTTTTTTATATAATATATAAATATTCTCTATTATATTACTGTTATGTTAAATTATATTTGTTTTGTTTATATACATACTTTGTTTATCATTTATTCTATAATACATAGTGTGATACTTTTTTTTATCAAATAAAATACTTTGAAAAGTCGTTTTGCTATTAATCATTGCCATAAATTGCCATCAATCTTTAGCATTAATTCCTCCGCTATGTGGAAACGAAAATGAAGATAGCATTGTTTGGTCTGGTAATAACCGCGAGGAAAGTGAGCTGTTTATATAACTGATTATCGACAAAAGATGGAATTTTTCAAGTTGATGAAAGGCGCCAAAAAATTGATGCTAAAACCATGTCTGCAGATGTCAAAGCAGATTGTGTTGTATTATGTGTCATCAGGTATACAAATGATCATAACCAGGTATATTATTTTGACTAAAGGATTGATAGTTTTGACCCTAACGTCCAATGGCATATATTTGTGTTGACTTAAGAGTATATCGTAAAAAATACGAGAAAAATTCAAACTGTCGGTGTTGTTCTCGGTCTAGATGAACATCAAGCTTTTAAATCTAATCTTTATTCAAATACATAGTTAAAACTAGAACAAAAAAAGTGTTACAGCTGATTGAAACACAGTCCATTTGAAATTCCTCTTTATAAATCACTAAAGGGAGTACAATGTATTATAAATATATATATATATATATATATAAGTGCCTATAAATAGCAGCACATGACATACAAATCTATGGGAGTGTGGATTAATCAGTACAGAGATTAATTCAATTACACAAATAAAATTATAGATTGCCTAACAATGTAATTTTAACACACTATTGAGTATTTAAATATAAGAATGTTTAAAATATTTACAAAATGATGAAAATAAACGCAATATTTCGCTAGACTAACTAGCTTTATCAAGCGTGCATCTATCCAGGTGAAATCGGATGTAGATGATAAGAAACTTTTGCAGCTCAATGTATATGTTGCACTTGAATTTAGCTGCCTTGAAAATAATACATAATTTGGATGAAGTTCAAGATTTTTACAAAATTGGTAGTTGAAGTTAGCAACGTCCATTGGCCAATATTACAGGATAAAAAGGACGATGCTGTGTACTAAATTATTCTTTATCTTTCCTGTATCTTTTCTCATCTTTTTCGTTAAGACCATCAGGTTCTAAAGTGTGGAGTTGGTGGATCCAAAACTTTTCTCTTCTCCTTCTCGCCGTGGTGTCCCACTCGGTATTGACTTTTATGATTTGGAAGGTAACATTATCAAAAGAATGTTTCGTTGAACGAAGATGTCTTGTGAGAGGACAGTTTTTGTTGGTTTTGTACCATGAACGATGGTTATTGAGCCGAATATTAAATTTGTCCATTGTTTCTCCCACATACTGAATGCCACATGTGTCACATGTTAATATATAAATTGCGTTCTCCGTTTTACAGTTGGAATTTGAGTAGATGGTATAATTTTGTTTAGTAACGGAGCTGATGAAAGAACTGCTTGTATTGGCAGCTTTACAACACAAGCAGTTCCTTCGACCACATTGTTTGTAGCAACCGGGAGATGGAGTAGGCTGCTTTACTAATACAGATGTCACTAATTTGTCACGGATGTTTTTAGGTCTTCTGAAGGCCATGACTGGTGGTGAGGAAAATACTTTTTTAAGATTTGAATCATTTTCTATAATTTTCCAATGCTTCTGAACAATGGAAGACACATTTTTAAAATCAGGATGGTAAGTGAGTACAAGGGGTGTTCTGTTAGCTGCTTTATTCTTATCTTTGTACTCTAGAAGTTCTTGGCGACTTGTTTTGTTTGCTCTTTCGAAAGCGCTATCAATGATGTTGTTATTGTATCCTCGAACAACTAGATGTTTACGTAGTTGTCCAAGTCTAGCATTTTGCGTATTTTCAGTAGAGCATATTCTCTTGATTCGCAATGCCTGGCTGAATGGGATGCCACGGGAGCAGTGTTTAGGATGGCAACCTTTAGGAGAAAGGAATTGATGTTTGTCCGTTTGTTTGGTATGAAGGTCCGTTATAATGGTTCCGTTCTTGATGTAACTCGTAGTGTCGAGGAAGTTTATTTTCTCCATAGATGATTCATATGTAAATTTTATTGAATGGTGGAAATAGTTACAGTGTCCTAGAAATTCATAAAGATGTTCTTGTGAATCTGTCCATTTGAAATCAATATCGTCAATGAATCGGAACCATGATAAGGGCTGGTATGGAGCACTAGCCAAGAAGCGTTTTTCAAGTTGGCTCATAAATATGTTGGCATATGACGGGGCCATTTTTGTGCCCATACTAGTACCGTCTATCTGGAGATAATGTTTTTCATTGAAAGAGAAGTTGTTGTTCTCTAGCAATAGTTTCAGAAGTGTAACAAGGCACTCAGTTGGGGGATTTTTTTCACTTCGAGTGTTCCATACCTCTTCACACGCTGCTATTCCTTCGTCTTGTGGAATGTTGGTATATAAAGAAGACACGTCCATGAATGCAAGTATAGTATTGCTTGGAAGAGGATTGAGGCTTTCCATTTTCTTTAGATAATCAGTCGTATCTTGGATGTAAGAGGGTAGTTCTTTCACATGAGGTCTTAGATGATGGTCTAAAAATTCTGATATCTTTTCAGTTGGATGACTATTTGCTGAAACAATTGGTCGACCTGGATTGCCCGTTTTATGTATTTTAGGCAACATATAGAATCTTCCGGCCTTTGCTTCGTTCTCAAGAGGTCGGAGATAATCAAAGGTGTCATTGTCTATATGCTTTTTGTAGAACATCTCTTGAAGGATGGTGTTGATCTTTCGAATATTATTTAGTGTTGGATCTGTGGTTAATTGTTTACAAAAAATGGAGTTTGAAAGTTGGCGATTTCCCTCTGCTATGTAATCTGTTTTATTCATGACAATCACAGCGCCCCCTTTGTCGGCAGGTTTTATTACGATATCCTCTTGATCTTTTAACGCTTTCAAAGCAATGCTTTCTGACTTGGATAAATTATAATTTCTTGTATTTGTTATACAGGACTTTATATCAGACCTCACGTAGTTAATGAATGACTCCAAGTTATCATTTTTACTCTTAGGTGGTTTCCATGAACTTTTTTTCTTAAATTTTGGGATGGGCGTGACTTCTTCATTGGTGTCAGTATCTGAATCTGTTAATCCAGCTTCTTCAAGGTTTTTCTTGCCCCTATTGTAGAAAAAATCTTTCAAGCGTAAACGTCTAGCGAATTGGTCTAAGTCCTCGTCTAGCTGAAAGTTATTTACATTTGATGGGATAGGACAGAAGTTTAAACCTTTACTTAAAAGAGATTCTTCAGCACGTGTAAGTTCTTTAGATGACAAATTTACAACAATGCTTTCTGTTTTTTGTTTCCGTCTTTTGAATTTTCTTTTTCTAGGGACCTTATGGTTTGTTGTATTGATATCATTCATATCCTGATTTAAATAGACAGTGTGAATATTATCTCTTTGAAATTTATTCCTTTGTTTTTCTGTATGTTTGGATAGTTCAATTTTTTCAATATCTGCGAGGCGACGTTTAATTATTGGTAAATCGTCACGTGAAATGTTACTATTGTTGATGTTATCTGATATTTCATTTACAATTTGTTTGTAATTTGTGGTTGTAAAAGAAAGTAACAGTTGAAGTAGCTGGATTGAACAGTTAAACAGAATTTCATTCCAACGGCTCATGAATCTTTTGGATTTATGTCCCGGTGCCTGGGGACTCACTTTGATGTTTAAACCTTTTGGTACAGTTCTACTTTGAATATATTTTTTTAAGTTTGATAAATGATGTTCAGTTTGTAGTTTCTTTTTAGTTAAAGATCTTAATTTCTTGAAATGCAGTGCGCTATCCATGTTGTAAAGATAGCGATAGATTTGAATGGATTACACAAACATTTGTGAAATGCGTGCTACTGAAGATAATAATATAAGTGCCTATAAATAGCAGCACATGACATACAAATCTATGGGAGTGTGGATTAATCAGTACAGAGATTAATTCAATTACACAAATAAAATTATGGATTGCCTAACAATGTAATTTTAACACACTATTGAGTATGTAAATATAAGAATGTTTAAAATATTTACAAAATGATGAAAATAAACGCAATATTTCGCTAGACTAACTAGCTTTATCAAGCGTGCATCTATCCAGGTGAAATCGGATGTAGATGATAAGAAACTTTTGCAGCTCAATGTATATGTTGCACTTGAATTTAGCTGCCTTGAAAATAATACATAATTTGGATGAAGTTCAAGATTTTTACAAAATTGGTAGTTGAAGTTAGCAACGTCCATTGGCCAATATTACAGGATAAAAAGGACGATGCTATGTACTAAATTATTCTTTATCTTTCCTGTATCTTTTCTCATCTTTTTCGTTAAGACCATCAGGTTCTAAAGTGTGGAGTTGGTGGATCCAAAAATTTTCTCTTCTCCTTCTCGCCGTGGTGTCCCACTCGGTGTTGACTTCTATGATTTGGAAGGTAACATTATCAAAAGAATGTTTCGTTGAACGAAGATGTCTTGTGAGAGGACAGTTTTTGTTGGTTTTGTACCATGAACGATGGTTATTGAGCCGAATATTAAATTTGTCCTTTGTTTCTCCCACATACTGAATGCCACATGTGTCACATGTTAATATATAAATTGAGTTCTCCGTTTTACAGTTGGAATTTGAATAGATGGTATAATTTTGTTTAGTAACGGAGCTGATGAAAGAACTGCTTGTATTGGCAGCTTTACAACACAAGCAGTTCCTTCGACCACATTGTTTGTAGCAACCGGGAGATGGAGTAGGCTGCTTTGCTAATGCAGATGTCACTAATTTGTCACGGATGTTTTTAGGTCTTCTGAAGGCCATGACTGGTGGTGAGGAAAATACTTTTTTAAGATTTGAATCATTTTCTATAATTTTCCAATGCTTCTGAACAATGGAAGCACATTTTTAAAATCAGGATGGTAAGTGAGTACAAGGGGTGTTCTGTTAGCTGCTTTATTCTTATCTTTGTACTCTAGAAGTTCTTGGCGACTAGTTTTGTTTGCTCTTTCGAAAGCGCTATCAATGATGTTGTTATTGTATCCTCGAACAACTAGATGTTTACGTAGTTGTCCA